AGTTAAAATATTTTGCACCCTTAGCATATGGCCATTCCAGAATTTATTTTTTCTCATCACTGTTATCTATTGAAGATCATTTTTTTTAAATATAAAAGAAAAACAAACAATGAAGCAGTCTGAGAGACGTGATTTAAAGGAGAACTATGAGATGAGTGATTTCCATTCACCTCATAGTTCTAAGCCGACCTGTGACAATGAGACTGTCACAGGTCGGCTCAGTAGATCGGGAGGTGAGGGAACACATACCGGGTTCCCTCACCTCTCGATCCTGTCACGGCTCTCTGCCATGACAGGGGGAGGGGCTGGATTCCCCTCTCCCCGCTCCGATCTGCCATCGCTGACTGGCGGAACGGACGGGGGAGGGGGCGGGGGCGGGTACAGCTGGCTCTGCCTCTAGATAGGCAGAGCCAGCTGTCACTCACGCAGCTGGGCGGATCCCGTCATCTACGTCGGGATTCCGCTCCAGGTGCGGCGTCTCAGTATACCGCGAGCTACAGCTATACTGAGCTTAGGGTAACGGGAGGACGCTAGTTTAGCCTCCCGTTAACCTAAGGAGAACTATGGGGAAAAACACTGACCCCATAGTTCTCCTTTAATCCAGATATTTTAGATTACTGCCTTCTCCATAGCTGCCCAGCTGTTGGAGAAATCTCTATAAACATCTATATGGCTGACAACTAATTCTGGCATCTGCAGACCTGTGTTTATGGGGTGCATATGTGCCACCACCACAGCTTTCATAGTTTGTGGAATTGGAATGAAGGAAATATGTGTAAATCACATCAATACACTCACCTCACATTAAAGCGATATTAAACCTTCCTTTTTTTAAATAATATTTGCTATAAGGAGACTCACCTTTGCCTGAGGCTGTTGTTGTTTTTCTTTTAAAGTTTTAAATTCCTCGTTTTCAAGTTGGTTCCCCCAGGGCTCTACCCCCCACACCCTGCACGGGTGCCGCCATCGGCTAATGGAGGCACCCGTGTGTTCGTGCCCGCAGTGGCTGTGTGCGTCCATAGATACACACAGCCTTGTGGCAGGCCACTCCCCTTCTCTCTGACCAACACTTTGATTGATGGCTCCTCTGCCATCAGTATCCTCCCCCTGCAACCAGGAAGTACGGGGAACAGGGTATCACTTCAGGACCCGCGGCGAGGACGAGCGTCGCTGATAAGTAAGTTTGGGGGGGACTGGCGGAGAAAAAGGTTCTGAGCGTTTTTTACACGAGTGCAGAGAATGTATTAAGGTAAAAAACGCCCAGACCCTAATACTGCTTTAAGCCTTGATGGGTCTAGAGCAGCCTTTCTCAACCAGGGTGCCTTCTGGATTCCTCAGGGGTGCTTCAAATTAATTATTTTACAGCACCATGGATACGAGTGATGCTAATCCAGGGAGGGTGGTATCCATTCAGAAAAGAACAGTAGTTCTCCTCCATCCAGGCCTGGTCCTCCTCCCACCCTCGTTCATGCTGCCACAGCTGCAGCTTCTGAAATAAAAGGGGGGGTTTTAATGTGAAAATGGGGCTCCTGGTGTAAAGAGGGCTTCTGATGTAAAAGAGTGGGACTCTGATGTGAAGGGGGCTCTTATTGGAAAGGGGGATTCTGATGTGAAAGGGGGCTCTTGATTTGAAAGGGACTTCGATGTAAAGAGGGACACCTTTTTTTTTGTTTTTGCATGTAGTCTTCCCTTAAAATTATAGAGTGTCTAGAGTGCCTAAGGTCTTCTTTAAATGATGACATGTTGCCTGTTGGCCTGTTATCCTCCAATTTCTTTGTAGCTGATTGGGTGCAGTTACAGTTCAGACTGAAACACTTTTATCGAATATAGGGGTGTTGGGGCAGCCACACACTACTCAAATTTCGCACGAGTGTATGTGTATGGCCAGCTTAAAGGCAAAGTCCACATTTTAGAAATAAATATTACATGCACACTTCTTCATAAAAGAAAAAAAAATTGCATTTATTTTGTTTTTGCATTGGAGCCAGTAAAGCATTGCATTCGCAATCAGTCTATATCGAGGTACAAGCATTCACTAATATTGACAGGAGGAAGAATGAATAGACTACAAGAGTGGTGAGGTCATCGTATTCCATTGAGTACTACGATGTGATCATGTTTCATATTACACCCTGAAAAGTAAACTTGTCCTTTAAGACTGAAGGGATAATTCAGTGTAAACATAAGGTGATGTCTGTATATTTTTCCCTGAAGTGTGTGATATAGAACACATGAGAGTTTTCTGCCACTTTATAAGACATAGAAAAACGACTTTCTTCACACCTGCTCAGGTATAATATTGTAATGAGGAATGAAGACAAAGGAATAAAACAAATAAACTTCTGCACTTGTGTATAGCACCATTCTAAGTTCTTCAGATATTGCTTTGGTTTATATTATGTGGCCAATTTAGGTGTCAAGACTGCTTAAACGCACTGTAAACCCTAACAATTAACTTCTCTTATGTGCTTCATTTGCTTTCTATTGGTTTGTTAAATAAATTTGAAAGCATTTTGTTATATCTTTTAGATAACTGCAGAAAAAATCCAGCTGATAACTTCCTGTACTCTCAGGCTGTGCTGCACCATAATCAGGTAGCATTGTTCCCAGTTCTCTTTGTGATCCACAGAACACCTCTCCCTATGTTATGAACATTAGAAGGCGGATTTGTTATAGCACACTTCATGCCTCAGGGTGACAGTTGTGCTCCTCCATAGATACAGTACATTAAGTGAGCGTTATCACCCCAAGACAGGAAGTGCCTTTCTGGCTGGATCAGCAGGTGAAATTATAAGGAAAAAAAAGCCAAAAAAAAGCCCAAACAAATGCAGCCACCTCATCTAAGGACTGGTAAACTGCAGTATTTTACCATTTTGTCCTGTGTTTAGATATATTTTGATTGACTTTGTAACCAGGTAAAAGGTCTGGTCTCCCTTGAGCCTCAGATGGCAAACACCACATCATTGGTCATGGGGTTGTAACCAGTTGCAAGTGGCCATAGGCCTACTCTTGTGTCTCATGAAACACACATTAACACAGGCACAGTAACTGGAGAGCAGCTCCTTCCCCTAGGTCCGTCTTCACAGCTTATAGGCCTGGGGTAGACAAACTCCGGCCCTCCAGCTGTGGTGAAACTACAAATGCCATCATGCATCTGCCTCTGGGAGTCATGACTGTGTCTGTCAGAGTCTTGCAATGCCTCAAGGAATTAGTAGTTGCACCACAGCTGCAGGGCTGGATTTTGCCTACCACTACTATAGGCTGATGTCCTCTGGTTCCCTCCCTTGTCCCAACTGACCCAGGAAGAGCCCAGGAGTGTAGACGTCAGCATTTTATTTACCTTTTCCTAGGAAAGAGTGGACGACAAGCATACCAACCCTCGCTGCACAAACAGAAACAAGCATCTGTCTTATTACACACCAGAAGAATGTCCAGCCGGGTTCGGTTAAATAAACTCAAACTTTACTCCAGTGAGGGTAGCAAACAAACATTCCAGTAATAAATGACTACTTTCTCCAGCAAGGTGGTGACATAATCCATTATTAGGGGAGCAGAGGATATTTTCTTTCAGGTATACTGGTTCTCAATCTTTTTTCTATTTCCTTCCCATAAATAGGGTGCCTTCACGTAATTCTTCCTGACTCTCTCATTCCCAAGGGAATTTCCTGCCCAAGGAGTAATTACAATCCTTGACGCCACACGATTTCTAGCCCATTGTGATAGGGAATACTTAACTGCATACTCCGCCTGGCTGCACTCCACCTACCTGTGCTTATATATCTTATCAATAGGGAGTCTTAATCTGGTCATGCACACTTGGGAATTGGGCTGAATCGCTGAACCTTAGGCATTACTCTGTGATCAGTTGTGAGCAGGGGCACTGTACAGTACAATGACAACTGCTGCCACCACCCACAGCACTTCGCATGTAATCACACATGCTGCAATTACCTGTGGACCATCACACCTGGACACAAATGATCATCTGCATGTAAACACATTTGCAATTATATGGGAGCGGCCTGCGAACGGTTGTAGACGGTGGCAGCTGTCATTGTATTGTACAGCGCCCTCCACCCACAGCAGATCACATAAGCCTCAAAGAAGAATTCCTGAGATTTACCAATCCAGTCTGATTTGTATGTGTAAATGGAGCCTAAACTTCCAGCATGCGGAAACTGCTTGTTTGTGTAGACGCACCTAGATTGATGCACCTAGACGATGCTGTCTAGGTGTGCATTCAGCCATAGCAAAGCATTATATGCTTCTAGATGCGTTTAGAGATAAGCTCTTTCTCTGTGGAAGCTTGTACAGTAAAACCTTGGTTTACGAGCATAATGCGTTCCGGAAACACTGCTATCTCTCGGCTCAATGGAATCTTTTTCATTTCTTGAAACCTTAACAAGGAATCTATCCAATGTGACATTGCATTGTCGTTAAACAGACTCATCGCTCTCACTGCTACAGCCTTATTCAGGTGGTGCTTTTCTACAACATTTTGCTCCTATTGCAAGACATTGCTTGTATATCAAAGCAACATTTTTCAGAAATGTTTGCTGGTCTTGCAAAACACTCTTGTAAACCAAGGTATTACTGTATTTTACATTCCATGTGCATAGGGCCTTAATTTGTTGTGAAAACGGGGACTATCCTGAGACAAAAATCTCCGGTGACTTAACTGGTTAAAAAAAAAACATTTTTCAAGGAAACTTTGAAAGAGAACCAATGTATTTGTCTACACAAAATTGCTATTCCAGTATAAGGGTACCACGTGGATTTCTGCCCTAGGGCATGCTGCACATTTGCATCAGTATTTTTCACACTGTGTGACTATGTATATGCATTTCTGGATACCTTATGATCATAACATGGCAATATTTTGGTGCAGCAAGCTTGGTGTATACAGACTGTGCTCTTTTTTCCTCTCCCAAGTGCTCGGAGTAAATGGTGTCTGTTTAATGCAGGAACTGATGGACTGTTCCCTGTTGAATTTTTATTAGGTAATGCAGCTACTAGGAAAGATGGAAACTTCAATTTTTGATCAGAACAACAAAGTGAAGAATGCCCAGGGGGAGCAGCACCATGAGATCCAACTTCTAGATCTCAAGTATGTATTTTAATTACATTAATGCAGCTCTGAGCAGAAAAGTGCCTTCGTCTAATGACTAGCTTGGCATAAAACAAGAGACAAAATCAATACAGAGTAAAGCAGTAGGACTTAGGAATCACTATGACAACTTGATCACTTACTGTTTTATTGAATTAAGACAACATGTTCTGCTGTGTGCAATTACATTTTTCAGTAGTTAAAGTAATCTTGTCCTAAACCTTAGCAAATCAAACTGAGCCTACAATGAAACAAATATAATGTATTAGCAGCGGGAACCTTCACTGAAAACTGCAAAAAGTCATAGCTCCAAAGCCATAGGCAGCTTAAGTTATATGGAAATAATCATTTTCCTGTAGTCAAAATTGGCCCTACCACTACCTACCTCTGAAGCTTTCCTGTTCGCTCTTTAAAATAAAGAACCGTACATTTAATCTGCCTTACTGATGAATTGGAAAGATTTGATTGTAACTTGAACTGCCTATATATTTGACATGGTTTGACATCTGCATTTTAATGAAGATATCCTCGTGTTTATGCATTTGTTCATGATATGTGCAGGGGCTTAAGTTTGTGTTGGTTTAATTATTATTATTATTCAGGACTTATATAGTACCAACAGTCTGCACAGCGTTTTACAAAATATAGGAAGACAGTACAGTTACAATACAATTCCATACAAGAGGATTAGAAGGACCCTGCTCATGAGAGCTTACAATCTAAATGGAGGGGCAAGTGATACAGGAGGTAAAAACTGTGAGGGATGAGCTTGAGATTGAAAGAGTAGACATACAGATTTTTAGGAGGAGGAAAAGGCAGACAAAGTAGGAGATACACTATATTACCAAAAGTATTGGGACGCCTGCCTTTACACGCACATGAACTTTAATGGAATGCCAGTCTTAGTCCTTAGGGTTCAATATTGAGTTGGCCCACCATTTGGAGCTATAACAGCTTCAACTCTTCTGGGAAGGCGTCCACAAGCTTTAGGAGTGTGTCAATGGGAATGTTTGACCATTCTTCCAGAAGCGCATTTGTGTTGTCAGGTGCTGATGTTGGACGAGAAGTCTTGGCTCGCAGTCTCCCCTCTAATTTATCCCAAAGGTGTTCTATGGGGTTGAGGTCAGGACTCTGAGCAGGCCAGTCAAGTTCCTCCACCCCAAACTCACTCATCTATGTCTTTATGGACCTTGCTTGGTGCACTGGTGCGCAGTCATGTTGAAACAGGAAGGGTCCATCCCCAAACTGTTCCCACAAAGCTGGGAGCATGAAATTGTCCAAAATGTCTTGGCATGCTGATGCCTTAAGAGTTCCCTTCACTGGAACGAAGGGACTAAGCCCAACCCCTGAAAAACAACCCCACACCATAATCCCCCCTCCACTAAACTTGGCACAATGCAGTCAGGCAAGTACTGTTCTCCTGGCAACCGCCAACTCAGACACGTGCATCGGATTGCCAGACAGAAAAGCGTGATTCGTCACTTCACAGAACACGTCTCCATCTCTCTAGAGTCCAGTGGCGGCGCGCTTTACACCACTGCATCCAACGCTTTGCATTACACTTGGTGATGTAAGGCTTGGATGCAGCTGCTTGGCCATGGAAACCCATTCCATGAAGCTCTCTACGCACTGTTGTTGTGCCAATCTGAAGGTCACACAAAGTTTGAGGGTCTGTAGCTATTGACTCTGCAGACAGTTGGCGACTCCTGCGCACTGTGCACTTCAGTATAAGCTGACTCCGCTCTGTCATTTTATGCTGTTGTTTCCATTTGCTTCCACTTTGTTATAATACCCCTAACTGTTGACCGAGGAATATTTAGTAGCAAGGTAATTTCACGGAACACCTGAATCCAATGATTTGGAGGGGTGTCCCAATACTTTTGGTAATACAGTGTATATGGATATTGGGGTAAAGAGTTCCAGAGATTGAATTATATATTGTGACAGATGGACTAGTTGTCACAGTGTAGGTCAGCACCAGTGAAGGAGTCACTAATTTCAAACAGGAGGGTTTTGCCCACAAATGGGAAGAGTCTGCACTCAGTTGGGGCTCCTGAGCAACCCATGGCCAATGCAGGGAGTGCATGTCCTGGCCTGTCTGGACCTCAACAGACAGGTACCAAAATCGAACCAACATCTGACTGCTGAAAAGTGGAGTGAGTCTATGCTTGAAGAGGCTGGGAGTGTGAGCACACTCGGCAGAGTGGTAAACCAGCTATGAGGCTGGAAACAACCCCTATGATGGTGGATCATTTTTAATGTATGGTTATATGGATTGTTCACATATTCTTATAGGAATAAATAGCAAACATACTAGAGGGAGAGCAACAATGGACACATTATATCACTTGCATTGGGCTGCATTGCTCAACTCCCAATGCAAGTACAAGGAAAATAGTCCTGTTTTCTATGGTGCCCTGCATTGATGTGCACGGGAAAAATGGAACATATTTAATTTTATCACAGTGCAGCATTGTTTCCTATGGGTATGGTTCCCACCTGGGCGTATTACAGGCTGTATGAACGCGCTACAAAACGCCCTACGCCCAAAGAAGTAAGGAGCTTCTTTGGGGCGTATTTGCCGCGCATATCCATTGGGATACAGCCAAGTAGCTCTCGAAAACGCGCGTTTGTCGTGCATTTTTTATCACGAATCGCGGTAAAAACGAGCGGCACGAAACGTGCGACAAACACGCATATTCTATATGTCTAGGTGTGAACCCAGCCTTAGGGTGGGGGTGAATCTTCCCGCTAGGGTGCTGTACATTAGCAAACTTACAACAAAAGATCAAACTTCCACTCCACCCAGAATGAAAACATTTTTGGGTATGTTTAAAGTAAAGACAGCAATAAAAAGCTGGCAGGTTCTAACCCCTGAAATGAAGATATACCAGAGAAAATCCCATGTGCCTTGATGCAGATGTCCCTCTCACAACTCCAGATGTTTTCCACCCTCCAGACCTGGATTATTATGATGATCTTTTTCAGTGTTCTGGCTTCTCCTCTTCCCTGTAGGCCCAATACTCACCATACTGTTAACTGTAGTTTGTCTGCACCTAAAGTCTCGGCTTTTGTAGATTTTCATGTGTACTACACACTGTATTCTTAATAGGGGTAAATATAGTCCGATGAGACTGGATTATACCAGTTTGGCTCACTCACAGATAGTGTGGCCAGGAATGATTTTTATGTATTTAGGAAGAGCAGATAATTACTATATGGCTGACTAGTACAGGGAACAGGATGATTCATAGTACAAAACTATAGTTTACAGTATATTAATAGTAGCAGGTATATAGAATCCAGGGTAAAGAGGAGGCTGCAGTATTGTTAGGTTATGGTGTAGGTGTCATGGGGACTCCTCACCCCCTTGTGATTACCAATCCTGCTACTTCTATTTTTAAATCAGTGGTCCTCAGTCTGTGCATCAACTTATCATAAAAGATTGGATAGATCTTCCACCTCAAATTGTGACATTACTAACGGTGCTGCTATAGGTATCTAAAACTCCTTCAGACCTTTGCAGTCAATTGCATCAATGCACCTGTGTTACCATTTGGTATGTTAAAGTGAGTAGCAAAAAAAAACAACCCAATTCCTTCACCTGTCAACACATGGCAATGGACCAAAAACCAGACCTGCAGCATTTATTTTTATAACACAGCATGGGTGTGTTGCCACCTACTGTACTTGGTGTATTGGGATAACATTCTAAATGAAAGGCAACTCACGGCACAAACAATGTTTTACCGCGCTTTCTCCAACGCATAGGTCTGAAGGGGCTCTAAAGGTGACTTCTTAGTGAGGTCACTGACACAGAACCAGCATGCAGTTCAGAACATGCACATTTGCTCTAGGACAGTGACTCAATGGGTAGTGAAGCCAGGATGAGAATTAGTTAGAGAATATGTACCTTTTAACCCAAGTCAACAGTGCAACACCCATATTAAGTGATATCTAGGTGTGCAATTGCCCTAGCAATATTATTAAAAGATGCCATAGGTAGAAATACATAATTACATACATAAAAAAGTACACAAACACATGATCAGACATCTTATTAACTATGTTTTTCTTCTCAGACTTGCTGGTATTTTTGATGGCATTCAGGGACAAATCCAAAATCAGCACAAGTGGGCTGAATCCAAGGTAGAAAGGCTAGCAGAGGAGCAGACTCAGCACTTAGAGCAACATCTTAATAATCTCCAGGAAAAAATGGTAAGTGCCATTAATTAATTGTTTCTTATGAGTGCTAAGCAGATTGAGAGGCATTTTCCTTCTTATGAATAATAATGATACAAAGCATTGTTAAAGTGTCATTTATTTGGATATGAGTGACAGTCAGACTACTGGTACTATCTCCAGGGGATGCCCCCAAAGAAAGATCTCTATGTCAAAGTTTCCAGGTCTGTCCTGCTCCTGAGAACCTGGAATCATCACTACTGTAAACAATAAAACCCAACAAGGTGAGTTTGACACCTGGCAATGACTGCAGAAGATGGAAACTCCTTGGAACTAATACTAATGTGTAGAGATGACACAATTGTAGCATGACTTCGCTGAGCTTGTACACCCCCCATACAAGAGCAGTGGTAACACCAGCAGCACTTCACCTCCCACTTAAAATGAGATGAAGATATACTGTACACTCAGGCAATCAAAGAGTGCATGTTTATGATATGGTCTTTCAAAGAACCTATGGGAAAATCGTAGGACTTCTGAGCTACCAAAAAGCCATAAAGTGCGCATACAGGAATATCTAGCACTAAATAAAGTAAATGCACTTTCTATAATTGACAATTTATTAAATGTAAAGCCTAACCTTTTAATTACTCATTTCTGGGAACAAATAATATATAACAACCAAGCTGGGAAGCAGATTAAATTTGCTTTGTTCATGATAAATCACAAATATAATTATTTCAGTAAGTGCATTGTTTTAATTTACAGTACATTAGAAATGCCATTGTCTAAATACAACTCCTTAGTAAATGTATTGGCCTGAATTTCTAGGCGTTTGAAATGAAGCAATTAAGGCAGACTTGGGAAAGTGCATCTCGGCCTTTACTTTCATAAACTGGCAGACAAATCAGCAGTCAGTCTCCAGTCATGGATCCAATGTGAAATGCCTGAAGATTGTGGAAGATTTAAAAAAGCACAACAAATGCTGTTATGTATTCATAACTGGTGGGATGGAGAAGCCCTGAACGGGGGAATGCTGTAGAGAGAAGACTGGTTCTGTACAGAATGCTGTAGAGGGAAGAAAAGCTACGGACAGGGGAGGAAGCTGTAGAGGGAGGAGAAAGTCTGTACTGGTGGGATGATGTAGAGGGAGGGGAAGGTCTGTACTGGTGAGATGATGTAGAGGGAGGAGAAGGTCTGTACTGGTGGGATGATGTAGAGAGAGGAGAAGGTCTGTACTGGTGGGATGATGTAGAGGGAGGGGAAGGTCTGTACTGGTGAGATGATGTAGAGGGAGGAGACGGTCTGTACTGGTGGGATGATGGAGAGGGAGGAGAAGGTCTGTACTGGTGGGATGATGTAGGGGGAGGGGCAGGTTTGTACTGGTGGGATAATGGAGAGGGGGGAGAAGGTCTGTACAGGGGAATGATGTAGAGGGAGAAGCTATGTACGGGGAGGATGATGTAGAGGGAGGAGAAGCTCTGTACAGGGGAATGATGAAGAGGGAGGAAAAGCTATGTACAGGGGGAGATGAGAGAGAGAGATACACGGACAGCCTTGGAGATATAAGATTGTAAAATGGTCAGTGCTGCTTTCAAATTGCTTTGCCATTGAATGCAGGTAAGACAAGGCTGAACCTTCTGTGATAGCGCCATTTGGTTGTTTCTTCCCTGATATTTCTAGTCCTTCCTTGTACTAGTACGAGTGGTTCATCCCACCAAAACCTCAAATATCAGAGTGGATTTGACATTTGACTAACATTTCTCAAGTATAATGTCTAACATGAATGTGTTTCACAGGATGCAGTAGAAAAGAGACTCCAGGAAAACATGCACCACTTGACTTTGAAAGTAGACAACACTGACTATGTCCAAAGGCTGGAGGCGAAGCTCAGCAAATTGAAACAGGCAGAAGAGAAAATGGCTGCCAGACTCATAAAACATGAAAGTGAAATGTGGGATGAGATCGAGAATATGAAAAGTGAATACAGAGCAGGCAAGTCATTTATCCCTCCTACCTGTGCAAAACCTTCCATTTCACAAGCGACTTATCCAGACATTATACTGGCCCGAAAAGTACTCTAGATGTTAATTAACGCAAAACAAAAAAAAATCAACATGCGGCATACATTTGAAGTAGTGTGTGGGAAGTGGTAGAAAAATGTTCCTTATAATTACATTGTTGTCAGAGGAGCAGAGAAGTGTTCTTCAGAGCTTATGTTTGAACTTCTCTATATTCTGATCTAAATTAATATTACGGTAAAACATATGAGCTGTCTGGTCAGCTTTCACGCAGAATATTGTTCGGAGAAATATATAAAGAAATGAAAAGTATACTGAGCTGTCACCTACATAAAACCCAACTCAACCAGAGTAGGAATGGTTAGAACCATAGTATTGATATTTGCATTCCTGATTGGTAGCTTTCCCCATTATTTCCTGTCCAAGTAACACCTTGACATATAATAATACACCTGCATCGGAAATCATACAGAGTATCTGATACCCTTTAGAAACCCGTTGTCCATCTATGAGACAAATGTCGGTGCTTGCCCCCAGATTCATGTACCAGTTGCAAAGGCTTGTTGCGGCTAAAGCCAACAGCGTTCTTAACAACCAGCGATGCAACAGTGGAACAGCATCTCTCTGTGCGCCAGATCAGAGTTGGTCTTAATTACTGCCAGTTTTCCAATCCTTAAACTGTCAGTAATTATTTTTGAATCTGTCACAGCCATAAAGACAGATTCTTAAAGTGGTGGTATTAAGAACTACTTGAATCTGTCAGTAAAGATAGCAAAACTGGCGACAGGGCTTTTTAAAGATCCATACAACAAGTAAAGTGCAATTAAAGGAAAATTATGGGGAGAATGAAATACACTCTTTCTCATAATTAGAGCCGATGTGTGACACTAAAGAGGTCACACGTCGGCTCCATTGAACGGGAAATGAGTGATCACATACCACTGATCGCTAAGTTCCCGATCTTCCCCCTGCAGAGAGTGGTGGCTGTCAGTCACCACTCCCTGCAGGGATTCCACCCTCCCCTCTCCATTCGTCCAGAGCTAGAGGCAGAGCCAGCTGTCAATCAGGTGGGGGGATGGATCCCGACAATATTGACGGGATTTGTGCCGGCTGCAGCACTGTCAGCATACAGCGGGCAATAGCCCACCATATGCAGAGTTTTGGGTCACAGGAGGACATAGTATATAGACTGTATATAGTATATAGACTGATTTTTTCAGCCCGTTCCTTCTCGAAGAATATATGCTATACTGAGTGCGCCGGATCATTGCAAGCATTTTTAGTGTTGTGTTTTTGGTCTTTTAATAATGTTTTAAACGGACAGCACTATGGATTCTAAGTTTATTTCCATCTACGAGAGTAAATACTAAACATTGGATGGAATAAGAAATGAAGAAACCATCCAGGTTTTTTCCACCCATGAAGCTGGGAAACAAGCTTATGGAGACCTAAAGTAGCCATTAGGTCCATCCTTTGAGGTGAGAGGCGTGTGTTAAAGGGGTGATAGGATTCACCAGGAATCATCTTTATATACAACAGTGTGTGGATTTACACGTGTATGAGACGTTTTGGTTCACTGGAATCGCATCATCTTGTTATTATATAGATTTATGCTGAAGAGATTAACATTTATGGACTTTATATGATATACACTTGTTATTATTTGATGATTATGCAGATTGATTTATGGTTTTAGATAATATTTATAAGCACTACACTGGTTTATTTTTTTTAACTCTTTGCTAGATTGTATTCACACAATTTTGCAGTGTTAGCGTTTTTTTAGTCACTAGGTTAGTTACACTTTTGAATATAGTGCAATTTATAGATCACTAGTAATATGTGCCTCTAGGTGCCTGCCGTTCATGCCTATGGTGGTTTGTCCCCCTCACTCCATGACAGAGTATCTCACGTATTTAAAGCTGATCTCCAGGAAAGAAATACCCTTGTAGTGCTAGAACTGCAAGTGGTACATGCTTATTAAGTCAAGGGGCAGTGTAAAGTGCTGTAATGCTTCTTATTCCTCGCTCGAGCAGGTTTTCTCCATACTGTGCCACTGATCTCCCAAAGCCTCCTCTCTAAAGTGCTTCGGCCTGTAGTTACACTCCGACATCATCACATAAAATCCAGGATCAATAGTCCTGCATTTCCATGTACAATGCAGGATCAATAGTCTTGCATTAAATGCGAGGACAGGAAGACAGCAAGGCCCTCCCACAATTCAGAGCATCGGAAAGAGAAGGTGCATGCTGGAAGCCTGCTGTAGCGAGAAATAAGGTAAGTATTGCACCTTGTTCCTCTACCCCTAAACTTAGACTCCATTCACACCTGTGCAAATTAATGCGGGTCACCCAGTGTGCATTAATGCACAAGAGCATTGCCATTCTTTTCTATCTTTAACAGCACAGTTCTGCCTGCTGCTGTTTGTATTGAAAGCCAAACATGGATTTCTCTTAATTCATGCAACTGCCTCCTGCTTTCTGAGCGTTGAGCGGGATGGCCTTCTGCTATCGTCACATGATCATTCCTTATGTTGTCACAAGAGAAAAACTCCTGCAAGCCATGTGAGCCTATCACATGAGCTGAAAACTAAATAAATGTTTACAGATTGGTATTTGTTTTCTTTTTCTAAATTAGCGCTTAATTACAGATAATCATGAGTAGGTATAAATTACAAGCGGTTACATATCAAGCTCAGAGGAGTGTCAAAATGTTCCTTACAACAGCAAAGACAAGGTAAACATGTCAGACATTATCTTACATAAGCCTTTGGACTTACCCTTTAAAATGCCAAATTGCAGTCAGCGGAGAGCTACTTTTTTTATTTAATTTATTTTCAATATGAATCATAAATCAAATTCTATTTAACGGTGAAATTTATACATCTAATGTGCTTTTTGGCAACAGGATTTCAAGCTATACAAGAGTCGCTGAATTCTCTTCAACAAATCCAAGAGACAAAAGTAAAACTGGAAAGCAGAAAAGTTCAGAAAGACATTAAGAAAATACAACGCAAGATTGTAGAATTGAAAGACATTTGAGATGTTGCAGTAGGCATACTATACTATGAATATAGTATTCACAAACCGTAAGGGCAATGGCTGTGTATTGGATAAATGAGAATTTAAAAAGATGAATCTGGACATCTTATTTCATCCAGAGCAGCATCGGACTACGCTGAATGTAAGAAAAGTTCATTTCATGTCCGTAATTTATCACATATGTTTTTAATCAACAAGGTGCCATGTTTTCTACCTTCTTTAGCAATAAAACTGGTTTATAAGGCAATCGGACCTCTCAAAAGTAGTTAATGCAGACATAATACAAGATTTCATTCTCTATGGAAGAAATACCTACGTAACATGTATATAAAAAGCTGGTGAAGCTTAAAAATGCATGTATAGCCAACAATGATAAAGCCAGAACTACATAATTTAACAACCCCACCATAACAGTGTGGACCAAGATCAGACATATAAAACGCATAGTCACAGCCGGCATTGATAGTGCCGGAGGCATGTTTATTGATCACGGGAACTCTGCCTTACATCCTAAAATGTATTGGAATGCTTCTTATAAATAAACACTATCTATCCTTTCATAAGTAATTGAAAATGTTCTACTTTTGCCAAAGTGATCCATTTGGGAAAAGTGGGAATGGTTGCTAATGCACATCCTGGCTAATAACCTTGCTAGCAGCAAAGCAGCTCACACCACGACTTTTTGATAATGAGGCCATGTATCATCAAGGCCTATTTTAAATACTGTAATCAGATTTGTGTTGGACTTAATGGATTTAGTAAGGAAGTAAAGGCCGTTCACTTAGCAATGTGAATGTCGGTAAATAAGGTGCTTGTGCTCACTTTAAATATCCAATCATGTTAAAAGGATATTAAAAAACAGGATTTTTGGTAGCACGTTTGGTTGACATACAAGGAGGAAGTAGGCCGTGCTAAGGAACTGTCTCTTCCTGAAGTCAAACTGATAACAGGAGGCACATTGCAAGTCAATAAAAGAATAGGATTTTTTTGCTCACCCGATCATCCTTTTTTTGGAACCCATTGAGGTACATAGAACGTTTTAAACCTTCAGGTTATGTTGCCACCTACCGGCAGGACACTAGCAAACAAACACATTGCAGGCCAGCCCACGTTATAACCCTCTCCTACTATCAGCATGGCTCAATTTAGAAGAAAAGCAGTACTAAGAACATGTTTCCAAACACAGAGGAGTGGGACCAGTGTCCTTCAATGGACTCAAAGAAAAGGATTTTACAGCAAGTACAAAAAGCCTATTTGCTTTCTTGTTCATTGAGGGAACATCCACCTTCAAAAACTTTGAAAATGTGTGAAATGACGACCAGGTAACAGCCTTAAAAACCTGGGCAACAGAGAAACAGGGGTCTAGGCTAGAACACCTAAGAAGCACTCATAGCCCTAGAATGGCGTGAGGTTGACTGGAAAGAGGGAAACCTAATCCTCAAGACCATAAAATTGCACAATGGCCTGTCTGAGACACCTAGAAATAATGGAACTAGAAGCTGGGATTTCATACCTGCACCCATCTGGAATGTCAAAAAGAGAATCAGTTTTGTGGAGTTATGGAGTGATAGAGAGGTATACCCAGACAGCCCAACTACATCTAGACAGAGAGAGAAATCTTCTGGTGCAATGCAGCTGGGACACAAAGAGGAAAGTAAAGTGTCCTGATTAAGGTGAAAGGCTGAGACCACCTTGGGAATGAAGGTCTAGGCCTCAAAACCACCTTGCCCCTATGTAAAACCAAAATAGTTCCTTGAAGGATAAAAAGCTGCCACTTCATACACTCGTGTAGTTGAGGTGATAGCAAAATAGAAAACTGCCTTGTGAGCGACAACAGATAAAGGGATGTCTCTGATAGGTTCAAAGGGAGGGGGGGGGAGGGGGGGGCTTCAGAACACTGAAATAATCAAATTCAAATCCCATGGAGGTAGAGGGGATTTGACCGGGAGAGAGTTAAATGGGATACCACTTGCACAAAAGTATTTATCAGGGCATGTTTGCTGCCTCTGCTGTCAAGGTCAGAAATAAGCTGGGCAATCTATGAAAAAGTCATCTATGACTGTAGTCATGTAAGGAACACGCTGCAGGCAGACCCCAACCTGTTAGTGGATAGTATTTCAGGTAGGGATGCACCGATATATGGCACTTTTGTCATAATGCTGAAAGTGCAATTTTCCTGCCGATACATCGCCGCATCCCTGATTTCTTTCCTCCCCGCTGGGCGCTGCTCTGTGTCCCAGCCGGGAGGAGAAAAACGGTGACAGCAGGCCGAGCGCTCCGAGAGGAGAGTGCTGTGAGCGGCCGGCGTCTCCTCCCACACCGCTCAGCCGCCTATCACAGTGCGGCAGAGCGGTGTAGGGGCAGAGACAGTGCTGTCACAGGAGGCTGAGCTTTCTTCCCTACATGTAGGGTGCATCCCTACACCGCTCGATCAGCCTCCTGTGACAGCGTGTTAGAGAGAGCAAAGAGCAAGGTACAAACACTCAGCTATCAGTGATCGCTGAGTGTTTGTACATAATTGAGGACATGGTATGTTTACTATATCCTCAATTATGAATGAATGGAAAGTGATCTACATCACCTCCATTCATTCATAATTGTGGTTATAGTAAACAAACAATGTTCTCATGTTATCAATGAACAGGAACACTCATAGAGGATTCCTGTTCATTGATAACATGGTACACAGAAAAAGAGATTGACTTTGTGTTCTCAATCTTTTTCTATTTTAAAAGGGAAATATCAGGGGTCTGTTTAGACCCCTAATATTTCCCTGAAGCCTCTAAAAGTAAAGTAAAAAATAAAAATATTTAATAAACAAATTAATTAATAAATACAAATATTACAAAAATTAAAAAGTTTATAAAAAATAAATAAAAATACAATATAAAAAATTAAAATAAAAAACATTTTCGGTATCGGCATGACAATTGTTTTTATTTTGGTTTAGTTTCGGTTTTTACATTTCCATTTCGGTGCACCTCTACCCTGTTTCCCCAAAAATAAGACCTCCCAGGGCCGGTGGTGGCATAAGGGGGAACCTGAAGAGCCACGGGAGAGAATCAGCGCTGCCAACTAAGCCAGCGCTAGAGGAAGCGAGGCGGCAGCGGATGGAGCACAGCCGCATAAGCCGATGCTTCCTCTATAGCGCCCGCTCCTGTCACAGGCGGAGTGATACCAAATGCACTCCGCCTGTGAGGAATCAATAGTGAAAGCGCATTTCGCTCGTTCTGGTTACCAAATTGCTCTTGGAAAGGTACAGCACCCCTGATTGCCCTGATTACCCTATTCTTAACTTTGCCATTTTGAATTATTTAATTTGGATTTGCATTAACTTTGGATTATTGTACATTAAAAACAAAATAAGACCTACCCCGAAAATAAGACCTAGTGTGTTTCTTTGAGCCCCAAAAAATATAAGACAGTGTCTTATTTTCGGGGAAACACGGTAATTTCAGGTATATTCAGTACAGCTGGACTGTCCCCTCATTTCTGGAAACGGACATGTGACAGCTGCAAGTGCAGTAACCAGCAGGCTCAAAAAATAAGGGCCTAGGCCTGGAGTACTCATGGAACCTGGGCAGCTGGTAGGTGGCAGACAATGCAACCAGAGGTGACCAAGGATCACTGCAGGAGGGCAGTAGGAACAAATCAAGGATCCAAGTTTCACATTGCTCTGATAGGAGCAGAAGCCAAAGATGCTTCCTTGAATCAGTGGGATCCAATCACAGAGGGGTAGGACCAGTCCCAATCAAAATCGAGGACAATTGTGCCTACAAGATAGTGAAGCGATCTCCTGTAGTTACCTGGAGAGGAATCTTGATTGAAAAGAAAAAGCTGCTAAACAAAAAAAGTAGATTAAGTCTTAAATCAGTGGAGCTCAGAAAAAAGGTCCACCCTCCTCAGACACTAGCATACAACTGAGGCATGCTGGTAGTAAGAAGGGTTATACTCTGGGCTGAGCTACATTTTCTTGTTGTGTCCAATCCTCCTGTAGGTGACAGTATAACCTGAACATTTAAGACTTCCTGTGTCCATCAATGGAGAAGGAAAAATATGCTATTTGTAAGTAAGAATTTAAGTACTTGACTTTTCCATACTTTTACCGGAATTTCAGTTGGTGTCAGGGTCCTTAAGTTCAGTAAACATTCAATTTGTAAAGTGAAGATTTACTTTTTGTAACTAAACACTGACGCACAAGTGGTGTTGATGGTTTGGTCCTAATAAAATGAATGGTAGATAAAGAACCTACAGGTTGTTTGGTGGACTAGCAGTAAAGTGCCCGTGTTCCAAATTTACAGACCTATACTAGTGTCTAGTCAAGATAACAGGAGTTTATTAACAGGATCAGTAGTTATTCAGATGCAATTGGGTTATACTGCCACTACAGGGGGATTTGGACACTGGCAAATAAAAATGTTGTTGGCCAGCCAGGTATAACCCCTCCCACAACCAGCATGCTTCAGTTTTTTGCTAGAAAAAGGTTCACGCTTACTAGACACTTCATTTACACCCCCCCTCCTCTGAAACTCCTTCCTTGTCTACTATGCAGGATCGTAATTGGAGGGCATTCTGGTTAATTAAAAAACACCCCCCAAAAAACCCAACAGGTATAGTCCATATGGTTAGACTAGCCTGGGCACTCCTGAAGAGCAAATTGTGCCCGATATCCCCAGCATGCCAGAAATAAGTACTATGGGCTTTATGGATAACTTTTTTTTGCATGCTTACCGTATATACATTACTCAGTAGTGCTCCTTTTAAAGGTTATATTTTCTACTTGGAGAACATAAAAACTTTTTTTTATAATAAAAACATTTCTATTATGTACCCCAATATTATATCTGCAGTCATGGTGTTTGGAAATAAAAGAGACAAGGAAAGGCAGATGAAATCGTTTATTAATACCAAGCTAACAAATTACAGGCTGATCGCTGGCCCATTTGAAGTATTAAATAAAGCAGATCTGAAAGTGACTCATAATTGTATCCCTAATGTCAGCTTTGATTAGAAGTGTTGCTCCAGTAAAAGCATATTCATTATTTCATCATCTTACCCACGGATAACATTATATCATTTAATTTAGCATGAAATCCTGGTAATTGGTAGAAAAAGGTGTCTGAATGTGTTCTGTTCTAATGTCTACAGATCCTAATGATGAACTCCAGGCTAGCAGCTATATACACAGTTTAAATAAATGGGAACAGTATAATTCAGCCAGTCTTGTGATCCACGCAACCTTGCCTGACAGCACAGCCAAGTTCTAGACCGCCCACTGCCACAGTAGTAGAGTTTGATGAAGAGCGTATCCTCAGCCCAGGACAATGAAAAAGCAGCAGTACAGCGATAAGGTTTTTATATGTGCTCTCTCCTCCTGTCAGCACATGTGCATGCAGCAGAATCGGAATGACTTAACAGTGATCTTCACTTTTTCTCAGTCTGCATGCTGCCATGCAGTGGCTTACAATAGGCCTTTAAATTAATACATAACCACATTATGCTTTTTATTGGCTTCAGACGATTAAATGTAAGACTGCAGGTCTATTCACAAAAGGGTGAAGAGTCTGGGGAAGACAGGAGAAGTGGACAATCTAGGACAACATTGCTGATTTGAAATAATTCTCCAATTCAGCTCCCTTTCCAGTTCAGCTATGTTGTCCTAGATCAGGGGCGCCCACTATTTTTCGTCAACGGGTGGGCGGAGCCGCTGTGACAGAACAGACGAGCAGTGAGGGGAGATAGAGGCGCCGGCTGTCAGATCCTGGCCGAGCGTCTCTCTCTGTCCTCACTGCTCTGCATTAGTTAGTGACAGCGGCTCCGTCCTCCCCCGCCGCCGTTTCCTTCACTTCTTCTCGGATCCCCGCTGGGGAGAGCAGCGGGGATCCAGAGAAGCGGCGGGAGGAGAGGACATGGCGATCTACCAGTGATCGCTACGCGATCGACTGGTAGATCGCGATCGACCTTGTGGGCACCCCTGTCCTAGATTGTTCCCTTCTCCTGACTTCTCCAAACTCTTCACCCTTTTCTGAATAGCCATGCGTGTCTCAAAACAAAGATGGTGTCTCCACAAGAGCAGATTATGCTGATCAAAGCTGATGATTGGAACCCACTGAATACTAAGTGACTTGTATAGCAGATGTGGCTGTAAAATCACAGCACCTTTATTTTGATAAGTCTGTTTGTCAAAATCTATTAACTATCACTGAGAAGAATTCCAGAATGTCAGGCACTATATACACATCCATGATACTTATTTCATTTGGATAGATTGCAGTCCATTTTGGTATGATGCATTCTATTTTATGCTCTTACTCCACTGTGGTAGACGTTTGTTGACTTCCGATGCGGATGTTAAGAATGAGCTTATATATTGGATATGTGGCAGCGGGAGGCAGAACTGAGGGAATCTATGTTTCCAAATACTGTTTTTAATGTTGCTTATGGATTTTAACAAAATGTGGTAATAAACTTACAATTTGTGACGTGAATATAATTATTACCTAAGTGAATGTTTTTTTATTTGGTGGAAACAGTGATTTTGGTGGGTACTGTTTAGTTGGGATGGGCCCCTGGTTAGAGATCAGCTTAAAAGTTTAAACTCCAGACCGACATAAAAACACCATTCATGCATTTGTGTGTTATATAAAAAATATTTAAAGGGACACATCTAGTTTAAGAAAGAGTGTGACTTGATATTAGTTCCTTTAGTCCCCTGCTCAGTAGGACTCTGAATTCAAAAAGGAAGGTCAGCACTTGGAACCAATCAGGCTCTGCTGCATGCACATGTGATGACAGGGAACATGTAGACAGAAGGAGAGGGTAAAGAAAGCAGAGTGGATGACTTATCAGTGTGTTGCTGCTCCTTCATCATTCAATCAACAGGCTGCAGGGATAGATGACTGTATTCCTTAACCAACAAAAAAATGATGTCACCCTCAGGTCTGTTTGGTCTGGCAGAGGTGTATAAATCACAAACGTGGCTTGACAAAAAGAACAAATTATTTTGCATATAGGACACTCCACATATCTATTTCAGCTGTCTGCCTAGAGTTTGGCTTATGAACTCTCACATGATGGCTCATATAAAAGATGGAGTCTTGTACTGTTGCATTATTCCTGAGAATAATTCGTACACTAACAGAACAATTGAATCTAGCAATATATAGGACAATTGCCTAATTCATGCAAGCTTGCTTTGACTAGCATTGTGTTGCAAGCACGAAAGGAAAGCTCTGGCTGGTACAATACACTGCAGGTTGTATAATGGATTACACGCTGATATTTCATGAAGAAAGTTTACATTCTGGCAGGAAGATTGTTTCATTGATGGGCGGTGACGAAAAACAGAACACTATGAACTACTGGACAGCTGCCGGTGAAGATCCAGGACTCGGGTGTCTTCATGGACTTTGGCATTCTCTAAAAGCACCTGAGGGAAAGTGTAGAACAGAAATGTGGCAATATTAAAGATCACACAATAGGACAAGACAGTGAAGGAACACAAATAAGGCAATTTCTTTCTGAGGAACTGATAAAAGGTGTTACATGTTTGATCTAAACAGGCCAATAAAAAGGTGAACAAAGTCAATTTAGCAAGCGTGAAGCAGATTCTAAAAGCCAATTTCCTACTGGTATGCTAATAAAAATGGTAAAATACTGATTATTAAAGCTGGCCATACACCAGTAAAATTTCATGTGCATGTGTGGGAGTGCCAGCCTGGCCAACCAAGAGGACAAAGATCCCAAACATGAAAGAAGACTGTGAGAAGATGGCATTGCCAGTGACGGAGGGGAAACCAGACATCTCAGCGCTGGAGAGGATTGTTTACAAAATAAGTCAGCCAAAATGTTTATATGCTGTGCATGCTAGCACATTATGGCAAACACCTCTGGGGTAATGTAAAAAAAAAATTCCAAAAAACTCCACTTCCACTTTAAGACACAAGGATAAATGAGCCCATCTGAAACTAAAACCTAGTGACAACTTCAACATTAAGCAAATATTTTGGTAGTGAGCAAAATGTTTGTGGATGAACCATAGCTAATCCATCCACTAGTACTAATGTCACTTAGTGTGAGATAATTACACAGAAAGCAGGAGATCCTAGTTATATGGCACATAAGTATATGTGTGTGTGTGTGTGTGTGTGTGTGTGTGTGTGTGTGTGTGTGTGTGTATAACTGGGATGGACTCTGGTGAATTATCTACTAGCGTCTAATATTTTGCAGCAGTGAACTCTCCCCACACTGTAATAATTGTCTCTTCTCCACTTCCCTACAAAAAGCACACACAGAACATTCTCTTGCAGCTGTAGCTGTCTCAGTCTTTCTCACCCCCTAATAGAAAATGATCTAAGGCCCTATTAAGAGAATGGAAGCCCCCTGATAATGGCTGCAGAAAGTAGGTGCAACTGGGAACTGAGTGGCGATGGGTGATTTAACCCACCATCATTCACCCAAAGCTGTAAAATAATTTTAAGGTATACTGACCCTTCAGAAGAAGAAGAAAAAAAAGAAAACTTTTTAAAAATAAAAGTCTAAAAAAAAAACCCCTATGAAAGAAGTGTCAAAATGACAGCAATTTTTCATTGTCACAGTACAAAGAACAGCTGTCAGGATCTAGTGTAAGCCTGTAAAAGTCTGATCATGTCACAGTGACATTGTTAATTAATGATTTCATACAAGTGACATGATGAGAACAGTCACTAAACCAAGAACAAATGCTTACTTCAATTAACTGATCGTCATTTTTGGCATGTAAATGTCTAAGGAGATACCAGCGGGCGACAGCAGCAATCGTCTCACTGCATCCGGTCTGATAAACCACTTTCTCCAATAATTGCCGGGTTTTCCTGATGACAAACAAAACACAAACATACCAAATCAACAAGAAACCAATGAACAAGAAGCCAATGAACAAGAAGCCAATGAACAAGAAGCCAATGAACAAGAAGCCAATGAACAAGAAGCCAATGAACAAGAAGCCAAATTGTTAATGATTATTTTTAGACTGAACAAAAAAAAAATAGTTCAAAAAAAGTATAAGAAAAAATACCCTGTAAATTGAAGGAAAGTTAACCCGAAGAGTATAATATACAAGCTAAGGCAATACAAGAACGTGAGCAATGAACGGTGTTCAGATAGACTGGCTGACATTTGTTCACTGACTGATACTCAGATCACGTTCATCACAGCTGTACTCTTAGCACTTGTTAATATAAATCATAATCCTGTTTGCTAGAAGGTGCAATCCAATCAAACATTAAAATGATGCTTCTAAATTCTGTTAGTGGATACGGTCTACCCGCTGAGTGCCTCAAATTCCGTCCCATTGTTCATAGTGTGCAGCTGGCTGACCTGCTAGCGAAATCCTTTTAACTGCTTCCATCGTCATCTTCTCAATGGTCCTAAACCAGAGCCTCAAAAATGGAAAGCAGTTGGTTCTCTTTTTTATGTACTACCATATCTCTAATCCTTCTTTAGCCTCACCTGCAATCAATGGAGCGGAGCAAAAAACATTTCACAGCGTAGAATTATGTGACCAGTCTGCATACCCACAAAGAATCCCTGTTAGAAGCCTGATACATCTGGATATATTAGATTTGAGATTCCATCAAACTCAAATAGTCCCTAGGGAAAGATCTGTCTGTACACACGATTTAACACACACTGACTACATGCTGACTCACCTCTATGGTAGCATATACTGTACACATCTTGTGTACTTTCCGTACATGTCACCGTAGACACAAGCAAATGTAGTGATGACACAAGAGAAGATAAAACTGTAACAAATTCCTTGGCCTTACTGAATTGTTATATACCCTGCCTGCTTGGCTAGGAATTGAAGGGACTGTTAAGCTAGGACCTCATATCACACAGTTTTGGTACATCTAAAAACACATTGTACATTCTGTACAGATTGTAATATAAGGGCAACCTATAGTAAATGGAGTAAGTTTTCCTGTTCAAAATAGTATTTAAAAAGAGACCTATGGCCAAACCTTTTTTTGGCTTTAGTTCTGTTTTGGGTTGCAGAAGTACATTTACAAATGGGATTACTGCAAGCTATATGCTACAGCGCAGAGCCACGCTGCAGCCGGGAAAGCTCCTGACATTACTGGGATCCACCCCACTGCCTAATCAACAGCTGGCTCTTCCTCTCTAGAGCCAGCTGTGCCCGCCCCCTCCCTGGTCTGTCCCTCCAATGAGGAACAAAGAGAGGGGAGCAGGGAATCCCTGTGGGGAGTGGTGACAAACACGCCTCTCTCTGCAGGGAGAAGACCGTAAGCTGCGCAATAAGCGGTAGTTCTCCTTTAACTGTGTGACTTATCGCTTAGAGGTTCTTTTTAAAGAAGACTAAGTTCATGCTTTAGAACTCCCTTTCCCTACTACCCATTTACATACTTCTTGTAATTAATTGATGTGTTTATTGCAATTTAAAGAAACACCTACCAAAAAGACCCTTTTACTTAGCTGAATTCGTAGTCATGTGACATGCGGGTCCCAAATCTTTCCTTCTGGACTGCAGAGTGGGAGGGTTCTTCTTTGGTCGCCCACATCACTGCCTGAGTGATGTGGACACTTCCCAATAGCTGTTCGTCAGCAGGGTTCTCTCACTAGTTAAAAAGGTTTAGAGGTTTTTTTTGTTAAAGGCTGGGACAGACTGGGAGGGGGGTGGTACAACATTTGTCTGGGGCTGTGCTTTAAATATTTCAAGCCCCAAAGTAAATCAAAATAACATAAAACTAGAGATCGCAACAGTTGACTATTTACTCATTTTATATAAATATAATTAGGCACACCTCCTTTTGTGTGACCTATGGTGAAACCTAGGTCATGAGGAGCATGCTGGCAATAAACGTCACTAGCCCTGGTAATGGACAGCTCTTTAGTTCCAATTTGTCCCATGAGAGACTTGAGAGATTCTTCTCTTGACCCCGGCCAGTAACACACTGTCACACTGACCGGCGCTGAGTACATGGGAATCATCTGACATCAATGTGACTGGAAGCTCTGGGAATCCAAGAATAAACCTGCAGGTTAGTTTCTTTTACAAAACTGAACATACCTGTGCTTTTGCTATTAGGTTCACTTCAATGCTGACCCACACACCCAACAGCTGCAAATAGCTTCCTTTCATTTGCTCCCCACCAAGGCTAAAAAGCCCAACTTGGTGCTTACACACAGTAGAGGATCCCCCCCTCCTCCTCACCTCTCCAGGTGACAGTGCTGCATGGCTAAGCAGCAAATTGCAGATACAAGTACTGTTGTGTGGGAGGAAGGGGATTGCATTGCCTACCCTTCACACGTGCCGTACTCGATATTTGTTTTTGATTATGATGTGCGCCCTGAGCGGCAAGAAAGAGAAAGTAAGGTAAGCATAAGCTGCTCCGGGAGCCAGTATTAAAGTGAACCTATAAAAATATATAGAAACTAACTGCGCCAATAAGCAAGCTACAAGGCACTGGAATGTACACGTAAAAAATGAATAACTGAATGTGCCGAGCTACAACAATGAGCAATACAAAAGAAAAAACAATAAAAGAATCTGTGACTCAAACAAATGTCAGTGAATAGTAAAGGGATCAGATGTGAAGTCTATAAATGTTCATAATTCTGAAGATGTCCAGATATAAACAGCAATAGTGATGAATATTTCTTGTTCCTTCACCAGATGCACCATGTGACCCACACCAGATTCAGGGGTGCTCACCTTATTAATAGACCGCAACAAAAAGGTCAAATCAGGCAATTCCCTTCTTAACCAGGGGAGGTTACCTCCGCTCCAATCACTCACAGATATCCTCCAATGATGTAATCAGACCAGCAGACAGATCTTTAGATCACTTCTTCAGTAGGGAAACAATAACCTCCAATCTTTATCGATCTGTAGGCCTCCTCAGTATAGGATGTCAATACCAGGATCGTGTTATCCAAAAAGAGAAAGCAAACACTCTGTTTGAATGGTACGTGCTATAGTATGATTTATTAAAGGAAACTACTCACATAAAAGCAGTGGTAACACAGCATGGAATCTTTCTAAGGAGTGTATGCTGGAGTTTCAAATGACCGCGGCCGTCATAGAGATCATTGTGATGTCATATGCTCCGCCCTACATGCGTTACATTCAGTGTGACTTCATCAGGGATCAGCCGATGAACATCCTGATCCCTGATGAAGTCACTCTGGATGTAACGCGAGTAGGGCGGAGCATCTGACATCACATTGATCTCTATGACTGACGACCGCGATCATTTGAAACTCCAGCATACTCTCCTTAGAAAGATTCCATGCTGTGTTACCACTGCTTTTATGTGAGTAGTTTCCGTTAATAAATCATACTCTGTTTGGATGGTACGTGCTATATAGTGTTTGCTTTCTCTTTTTGGATAACACGATCCTGGTATTGACATCCTATACTGAGGAGGCCTACTGATCGATAAAGATTGGAGGTTATTGTTTTCCTACTAAAGAAGTGATATAAAGATCTGTCTGCTGGTCTGATTACATCATTGGAGGATATCTGTGAGTGATTGGAGCTGAGGCCCCCTCTTCTGTTAAGAAGGGAATTGCCTGATTTGACCTTTTGTTGGGGTCTACCAATAAGGTGAGCACCCCTAAATTTGGTGTGGTGCACTTGGTGAAAGAACAAGAAATATTCATCACTATTGCAGTTTATATCTGGACATATCTTCAGAGTTATGAACATTTGCAGACTTCACATTTGATCCCTTTACTATTTATTCACTGACATTTGTTTTAAGTCACAGATTTATTTTTCTGTATTGCTCATTGTTGTAGCTTGGCACATTTAGTTATTGATTAAAGTGAACCTGTTGCTTTGCCCTGCATAACCAAAGCACAGGTTCACTTTATGGTTAAAAATCATTTCATTTGAGCTCGGATTCTGACATGGTTGGCCCACTTTGACTACTCAAGGCATTATATAAAATAAAAATATATGGCTTACAAGTCGGCTTTAACATTTTCAGAAATATAAATCCCAAGTAAACCTCTTGATATTTGTTTCTACACAAAAAGAACTATCAGAGAAATATTCAATTTACTGCAATGCATCAAAGCTTCAGCCAGAATGAGATCACAGATGGCCAGAGCTGCGGTATGTGTGTGTAACATGGAGTTCTCAGCACTAGGCTGAAGACTATTGCCAACTGTCAGCTCTACCAAACAAATACTTCAGCTTCTCTGTGGACACGAGGACAGTGGTCAGGGTGGCCATAAAAGTAGGTGAATGAGCACAGTATTGATCTAGGGGTGGCCATTAACATTTGGCATCTGCATCCCACTTTTTTTTTTATAAATGGCACTTTATATTTTTTGCATTTGCATGCGTACCAATGCTAAAAGGTCTATACAATGTCTATCAAAGGTATTCACCACCTTGGAATTGTATTTTGTTTTTATTATACTCTTCAAGAGAAATACATTCTTTAATGGCAATAAGAAAACGCAAAAAAATTAGAGACCCTGTCATCAGATCATTTATTTCAACAACAATCTTCCTATAATATTATAGGTGCATGTAAGGTATTTCATACATTTTATTTACATGTGAAAGTCTTTTTTACACATCCAAAAGGTCCTGAGACCCCTGCTGGACGCCACCATTGTGGTTGTGATGTCAGCAGCCCCAGCCATCAAGTGACAGTATATAGTATTCCCCTTTTTCTCCTCACCCGGCAGCTACATAAAAGGTAATGTAGGGAGGTGAAGGAAGGAGTGGAGGAGATGGGACAGCACAGAGTGTAATTAAAAACTCCTAGAAGGGCTATGGCACGAAAGAGGGAGGGGGCTGTGCTAGGAAATTCAAGCAAAACAAACGACAAAC